GTGTACTCTGTCCGTCTTCAGGAGACTGCCTGAAGTCTCCTGAAGACTTCCATCATTAGTAACTATGGGTGGATCCAGCGACATTTCACTGGACATTCCAGATGGCCCCTTGTACTGGTGGAAAACGTAATGGGTTTTGTATGAAGCAACTGACATGCAACAGTGGCTCCGTACAATAGTTATCCCAATGCTAACAGCCATTGATGGGGGCCAACGGAAATAACCAGTGATGGATTAATCAAGGTCACCAGATTTATCAGTACTGGAATACACATGTACCTGCAGCAATGCAGTCCGTCATCACTTCTCTTTTCACAATGAAACTTAGTGGGAATTTCATTCTCAAGATACACATAAAAAGGCCAGTGCTTAATTATTTTTTAGAGATAGGTGTAGATGGATGAACTGTAAACTGTAATGGGAATGTAAAACAACTTCTTAGGTATAACACTCCGATTGAACTAGAATACTGAGAACAAGCACTAAGTATACGGTGTCATGAACAGGGGTGTAAGTTACCACTTCAAATTAAAGCTGAAAACAGCTAGTAAAAAGCTGAAACGTAAAAAGTTCCCATACTTTTGCACAGACCAATTGTACAAAAAAGCTGAAATTTAGGGTCAACAAACATCTAAAAAAAACCACTGAAACGAGCTAAAAAGCTGCATTCTCACACCTCTGCATGAACAATACATGTACCTTGGTGTAAGAGCAAAAATTAAGTTCTCTTGACGTAAAGTACATCGTGAAATAGATTACTCCTTTCAGAAACATGATGAGTTCCCTTTGAAAATCACTATGTTCCTGCTATACTTCAGTAGGAATGAGGCTAAGTAAAGCATGTAGAGGCATTGAACCATACACTTTTCCCAAGCTGTTTCCAGTAGGAACAGATGATGTGCTCAATTGGAACAGGCCGCATTCGTTGGAGTGGTTTTGTTGGAATGTCCTGCCACATTCCAACTTCTTCAACCACTTGCAATGGTATTCTTCCTCAGGTAAGGGAATCAACAACAAGACGATATCACAACCACAGTCCTTTCAAAGTTTAGGTCCACAAATCCTTACCCTTGATTACCATTTGTTCCACATCTGTGCAACAATATCTTACCAGATCGTTACTCTGTTAAAAATCTCTAAGACTACATCATGGAATGATATTTGTTACAATGTCCAACCATGGCCAAAGACTGCTTGAGGGCTCTACACATGCTCATCAAACTCCAGTTCAGTACAGACATCAACCAGTACAATTACACAGAATTTTGACAGAATGCATTTTTTAAATGTCTCCTGCATTTCGCCACAGGGAATCATCATTGCCATCATCTGGTGCGAAGTGGTTTAACAGTGAGACATCACTGCCAAACACTTCTAATGGTCACCAAAGAGAAAGCCACTTTAACTTACAGGGACCTTGCGACCTGCTTGAGGTTGTCAGGGTTCTGGGCATTGATGAGGGAGCAAGTCTGGAAGCATTCCAGAGATTCCTGGATGCGTCCCATCTGGCGCAGGATCAGAGCCTGTACGTACAGCGGGTACTCACACATGCCACTGGTCTCGGCAACCTGCTCCTTAATAAGCATCTGTCAAAAACAAAGAAATAATGTAAATGGCATGTCTACTGAACTTGATGTACAAGAATTTCTAAGTGGAGAAAAGTTCTTGCACTGAGGTAACTGTGCAATGTCAAATATCTTTGGTCACATGCTGTACCTTTAACGTGTGTAAACCAAAAGTGTTACATCCCAACTGTGGCATCTGTCCCAACCGCAGTTGGGCTAATACCAAGTGTGGTGCTGCACCATGTGCACCGTGGTGTGTATGTCAGTGCATGCCACAGTGTGTGTCATCCATCACTAGACTACACATCGGCAACCCGTACCAACAGAATCTAGTTTTAGTTTGTGCCATGGAAGAAATGTCAAATCAGCACATACACATACATGTATTCAATGAATTTTGCTCGGTGAGACCAGCCAGCAATGCAAAAGTTGAAGAAATGGTTTTTGTCAAAATTTTGTGAGTACAGTTGGGGTGTTACGAGTGGTACTATCCCACACAACTACATCAATTTACTAGGGCGCCAACTCATCACTGCACGCACAAAATCTGGATGCCTCCCAAGTGCAGACATTTCGAATTCATGTGCTTATTTGACATTTGCGAAACGTCATGGGATGAATTCCGACATGCAAGTAAAACAAACACGAGTAACATACATGTACATGTATGATACCTCTTCCATCATACCAGTAAGTACATGTACATGTATGACCCATTTGAAAAAAAAATCAGAAAATCCACATAATCAATCCACATAAAAATTACATTTTTAAACAAACAAAAAAATGAAACGCTGATTTATACTGATTCTACGCTTCGGTTTTTGACATATAAGCTTTGTGGACACATCACTTTAAAATACAGACACAGATAGAATAAAAATAGACCCCTTGCAGCTTGGTATTCGATAATGGTTCCCTTCGCATGGCAAGTGTGATGGTAAGAATTACTGCATGAGGTGACAGTTGAAACGGACTATTCCACGAGGCAAATGCAATTATTCTTACCATTGCACAAATGCGAAACATTCAATATTCATTTTATACAACACCTGTGTAAATCCTCGTCATGTGATTAAATCTGAATACAGCTTAATTAATTAATTGAATTCGTAAATTTTTTGATGATCAGAGCTTGTTTAATTGTTTGGCAGCATTTCATCTGTTTCCTTATGTTGGCAACATCGGCATTATTTACAAAAACAAGTTCTCGAAATTATTTCATAGCATTGTGAATGGTGGAGCTTGATGGTCACTTGTCATTTTGCTATAAAGAAACCTGCACTACTACAAGCTGCAGTGCAATCAATCTGGAGGCCTGTGTTCGTTATTCGTTTCTACTGCACAGTTGTTAAAAATTTTTGCACTCTGTGTGCATGCGGTGCACGTTGTGTACATGCTGTGTGTTGGTACAAATATACAAATAATTCAATCCTACACGTTAAACGATCCATCAATCAGATGATGGGGATTTATGCAGGTGTTGTGTAACTGAGCTAAACAAAGCCCACGGGCCAGCTACAGTACCTGCTTGATGGGGAAAGCAACCTCAGCTGCCTACGTACCTTGCACACCTCATATTCCTTCCTGACATAATGCAGGTGGATTAGCCAGTTGCGTCTCTCAAAGATTGGCAACTCTGGGGCTGCAGCATTCAACCAGTGGTTGGAAAAATAAGAAGAAAATACTGAATAACATGTGACATGGTCAATGTCTCATCTAACCACCATAGTTGCCACCTGTCCTCAGGACACACAAAAATTATTCCATAGATTAGGGTAGGCATTTTTTTGCTTGTACAAAATTAAAAAACTCCTAATTTACATATACATATGTACAGTGTACATGTATACATTTTCACAAATCTTTTTCACTAAGAAGTATTTGTTTCATACATGTACATCTTGTTCGGACATGTTGGAGTTGACAGGCAGTTTTTAACACTGCACATAAAAGAACTGGCAAATTTTAAAATCCTACATGAAACACTGGATTGTGTACACTTTTGTAATGAAAAAAATATTGATTTTTAAGATATGGCAGCCAAAACAGGAGGGAGCAGCCTCTTTGGTCGAGGACATCACATTTTTATTTCAACATTTGAAACTTCTTCCAAATAAAAACAGTTCCTTCCTACTGTGGCTGCCATTTCTCAAAAAGGCACAGGGGCAACTCGTGACTGAAGTTGTAATTGGCTTGCTTACATGTAATTCACCTGCAAGACATTTCGCAATGCCCAACTGATTTTACACTTAGAAAAAAAGTTAAAACAATAAGACTTTAAAACCTCCTTCAGGCCTGTTTGATATTCCGAGTTCCAGGTAATAATTCAATCTAATCTGGATTTCAATAATTAAGAAGTTATAGAGTTTCACTGCACACACCCTTAGTTTAATTTCTTTGCTTAAGTATTCCACTTTTCAGTTTTATTTCAGTCTTATTCAACTTCTGACCTGAGTAACCCGCTATCAGACTGAGGCCGTATCCGAAATGGACTTTCAGAGCTCTGACTACATCTCTTGTCAGCGCACTTCCACGTATTTCCAACGGAAGGAAAATCTAGACCCAGCTCTAGGAAACAGATTCGGATGAAGCCTGAATCCTGTCAGTTTGTAAGAAAGAGAAACCCTGAATGACGTCCAAGAACTTGATTGGGCTGATGTAACATGCACGTACAGTACCTTTTTTGGGTCTGGCTTTTGGCTGAGCTTTTACGGGCTGTTTGACTTCATCATGATTCTGGCCACCTTCAACCTGCTGAGGGAAAGCATCATCACGTACATTTATATTACTGTTCAATTTGTTAGTCCTTTGATCACACGCTTTTTTAATTAATTAATGACTGCTCTTTGAATGCGGGAATTTAAATCCACGATTTCCACTAGGATCCACTCCAGGAAAGAATGCTGCATCCTGCCTACATTTCTGCAGTTGTGTATGAAGTTTACCCAGAATCAAGAAAATGTTCGAAGCATTTCCAAACAAAATTGGAACTAATTTCTTGGTCCCAGGTTCATGTCGCTTCAGCGTTTCTGTACTGACTGATGATGCAACTTTCTTTCATTTGTGGATAGCACAGCATGACAGAGCAACTAAGCAGATATTTTAAAAAGGGATGGATTTTCTGGACTCCTTTGCTCATTGCAGGGGTGTGAGAGGAGCACAAAAAATAGCTGAAATTTTAAGCGTGAAGCATAAAGCATCCAGCTCTCAAAAAATGGGTAATAAGTCACCAGATTCAGGTTATGAGTTTTTGATACAGCTGGATTCTATACATCAAAAGCTACAATTTGATATGAATGACCCCTGTAGTGCACTGCGTTCCGGAGATATATAGACGTTTGTATATCCACATTTTCGGATTCAATAAAATCACTCTTTGAGAAAAAGCTCATAAAGCGTAGCAATTGGAAACACAATGCTACATGTATATACATGTACATGTAGGGTTTCTTAATGAATGATCAATTTTTTGTCTTTAGTCTTCAGTATCCATGTTTGCAGTCAAAAATTCTGAAAATATAAAGATTACAGCAGCTACTAAAGGAAAAAACACAAAATCACATACTGGGAGTATTTGAAGAAATTTTGCCCTCTCCAAATAGAACAGGCCATTAGGAGTGTTTTGGCATTGCGTGACTTAGTACTCTTTTTTGCAGAGCAAATTAGGGGTCCTAAGCGTGGATCCATCTTCAAAGAGTTGTTCCCATTAGAAGACGCAATAATGACAACATGCTATGCTTCGAAAAGGACGAAAGTGGCATCCTGAAGTCATTGCATCTGATAATTTGACTCACAGAAAAGACATAGTCACTGCATAGTGCATACAATGATACTTTGTTAGAGGTATCCCTTCACGGTGCAATGAAGTCTCTATCTGGACCAATAGGACAATATCCCAGTTTAAGAACAATTAAATGTGGGGCTTATGTACATGTACATGTGCATTGCAACCAGTAGCCCTGTTCTTGAGAAGGAGCATACATGTACATGTAGGCATGATACATGTAGAATTGATAGGATGGGCAAGCCTATTTTGTGGGGTACACTCTTTGTACAGGTGTACATGTACATGTACTTGTATGATTTAGCATAGTAAAAATGTATATACACTGTCATCTGCTTCCACACCAAGCTGTTTATTAGTATTAAATCATTATAAAATTGTCAATATTCCTTAAATTATGTAACATGAATAGTTGCATGATACTGCTGCTGTTGACAGAAAATTAATCACTTTTGTGTTAAAGTGTTGGTACCATTAACAAGTGTTATGTATCTAATGTTTAAAGTCAGTCACAGTAATGTTAGTCACAGAGATTAATTTGCATATGTTAAAATATTCATAATTTTTTTTTCTCCTCTTACCACAAGTGTCAGTTACCCCATAAGCTGTAATCTTTACACGGAACTAGATCTGTATCTTGTTTAACATTTAAAAATATGTTCAACATTTTTTGGTTGTGCCACTTTTTGTAATGTCAGTCACAGAGGTGAACAAGCCACCTAGTCAGAAATGCTGAACATGAAATTTTAAAGTTTCAATACTGTATTGTGTTTTCAGGTCCAAGTATCCCCCATGCCAAACATTGTTCACCTGGCCAGAGCTGGTTGGATATTCAAAATCAGTAAAAAACGTAATGTCAGTCACGGAGGAATTGCCCATGTCCGAAAATTTTTTGAAATCTTGTAAAAATAAGAGAGGCATTGGAGGCAATTGCCTTGGTGCCCGTGCCTCAAACAATGCCTACTGAAGTGTCCCCATTTCTTGTACGTGTACAAAAATGACAACAGCCAGTTCCCTTTACAGGTGAGAAATTGCCTTGCCCTTTCAAGAACAATGTTCCTGCCCTGTATCCACTGCCTTTGTTGCAGGGCATACAAGTATATTGCACTTGCTGTTACAATATCGATCCATACACTATTCATGTACATGTATGATCACCTCTTCCACTTAGTTTGTGCACATGCGCTAAAATTCGGCAAAGTTTTGGTCACTTTCTGATGCTTGTTAAAATGGCAAAGCCAGCCAGCAAACGACTATACCAAATTCAATCTTTGGGGATCTTCCGCACAGTCTTAAGTTTGCTGAATTCATACCAGAGAAATATAATCAGGTTTCAGATTATACATTGTGATGGGTTTTTTGTTAATCACAAGAGACATTTGGGGGAAATGGGGTGAAAGATGTCTGTGTATGGTACATTTCAGAACGAAAAAATGGGTATTTTAAACTTGAATTGTTCTCCTGTTTTTCCACACATGCTGCATATCTTAATAACTGAAAGACGGTGTTTGAAAAATGTTACCATGTTATTTTAAAGCTATTGCGAATTGTCAATTTCAATTTTGGCTGTCAACCGATCAGTCATGATTTGTGTGCACATGTGCACCCTCGTACTGTACATGTACTCCATCAATGCACTATTTTGTATACATGCAGTGATGCACTACTACAGACAAATGATTCTCATGCAAAATATTCGATTCGCAACAACTTGAAAATACTACACATACCGGTACATGTACTGTACTACATGTACGTGACTACTGATGTTTTTATCGGGTCTTAATTCACACGGCTTTTTATTCATTTGTTTGGATAACCTGGAGAAGTTATTTTAAAATGGGAAAGACCATTGCCAAATTTTATTTCAAATTTGATCATGTTTATTTTTTTAAATTCCTTTTCCAGAATTTGTTTCAAATTTTGTCTAACTGGGCTCATTATATTACGGTGGTTTAATGTTGTCCGATCAATTTTTAGTGATCAGAATATCTCCATGAACTTTACTTGTTTGTGTTTTGTTAAAAATAAATTACGCAAAGAAGTATCGTTAATCATGTTAATGGTGTCCGACGTCCCGTTGCCTGTCTCGAAATCCACAGTAAAGTGATCGAGTGTGCATGCGGTAACTCTCAACTAAGTGGTGCACAAGGGCATGGACATGACAGTGAACATACGTATATTTTTACAGCTCGTGCAATACATTCCAGTATCTTCCTCATAGGCCAACTATCGAAGGCAAAATCATCATGCATCCAACATCTGGCTGTGTGTTGTCAATGTAAACAAACTGTGGCTGGTGGCTAGCCTACGGCGTACGCCGTAAAGGGTGAACGCTGACAAGTGAATTGTGCCCAGAAATTAATTTAATTAGAGTTACCTTCATGGCATCGTCCAAAGAATTGCCGTCGGCCATTACTGGGGTAGTCACCGTTTTTCTCGCAAATTATTGGGAGTGCACTGAGGAGACAAATATTCCTGAATCCTGACGCTCCATCATCTTGAGCTGGAATTCGATTCGCTGGCTACCACATCGCAAGTACATTTTTCTGTACTGGTAATACTCGAGCTCGTGGCTGGTACTCGATAATACTTGCGACAAGTTCCTAGCCTCTGTATGTAATACAAAACGGTACGTGATGTACACATGTGGGGCTCTGTCTTTAGGTCGAAAGTGCTGCCGCATATCTGCACCATTTGTACTTCGGGGTTAATTCCACCAAATGGTTGTTTTCTGCACGCGGGCTCATTAATACTTTTTGATCCCACGGGACTTTTACAATAAGACAAGCCATAATCAGGAGGACTCATAGAAATATTTTCTATAAATCCCGAATTTTGGACTGCTAGTTTCCAGTTCGGGGTATTTCTTTCAGAAAAAGCCCCAAATTTTGGGCCTATTTTGGTAGAGAGGGGCGGCTACATTAAGAAATGAGCGCTTAGTTTTACTGCTATTTTGGCATGTTTGGGGGTATCTTCCTGGAAAGGCAGATAAAATTTTTTTTTCGTGGCTAACCCCCATGAAATTGAAACGAAAAGTGATCTTCTGGCCATAATCTTGAATTTCCAGTGAAAAAGCGGAGCCCAACCTCTTCACGAGAGTCAACAGGCGTCGCTATTTCGGTCCGATTTTGAACTGTTTTGTATGGGCGCATATTTGGTGCAATGCAACCTTGTCGCCGCCCAGGGTTGCACTACACCAAATATATGTACACGTCCATATAGAAACTAAGTTTGAACGAAAAGCCAAATCAGACCAAAATCGCGCCGCCTCGTGATTCTCGGGAAGCGGTTGGCCTCTGTTTTTTCCACTGCAATTCAAGACGGTGGCCAGAAGATCACTTTTCGTTTCAATTTTATGGGGGTTAGCCACGAAAAAAATTTTAATTCGCCTTTTTAAAGCTTTCCCTGAAGATACCCCCAAATACTAGTACAACTATGCGCTCAGCTCTGGATGTAGCCCCCTGCCTCTATCCCAGGCCCGCAATTTGGGGCTTTTGTGAAAGAAATACCCCAAACTGGAGTCCCAAATTCAGGATTTATAGAAATATTTCTATCATCCCTCCTGATTATGACCTGTCTTATAAAAATCCCGTGGGATCACAAAATATTAATGAGCTCGTGTGCAGAACAACCATTTGGTGGAATGCATCCTTCGTTCGACACCCAGGGTGCACCAAAGACGTTTAAACACATGTGCTATGGGTGCACCCCATGGCTAAAAACTCCCATAGACGCCGGTGATAAATACCTATGCTTCAAAATTGTTTTAAAATACTCACAACTTACACAGGTGTCCAGGCTGGACAGAAAAATGAAGTTCCACATGGTTTCAAACTTCGAAGACAATACATTACAATAAGCCGTTTTTGAGAAATGTTTCCTGTGAGTAAATTTCGGGGTCACAATTCGAACAGAAAACCTGGAAATTGAACGCAGTCAACCCCCCCGTTCATTGCCTTCTTTCTTTCTTTTTTTCTGAGGGCCTACGTCTAAAGGTTAGAAGACTCCTAAAAGGCACGATAAACCATTTGGGGTCTTGTTTTGTGTGTACAAGCACAAAATAAAGAGATTAAATGGCTTCATCAAAGGCGACAATTACACGTGGTAACAATGATCCCACCCACCCCGTTTGGATGAACAAAAAATCCAAAATTGGGCCCTCCAACCCCCAGCAAAAAATCCTCAATAATCTCCCCTGCACAATTTTAAAATATTTTCAAAAAGTGTAATATATCTCAATTCACCTAGACCCACGGATTTGGAAAAAAAAGAGAAAAGATTCAAGAAGAAATCGCCGCTGGACCAGTACGGGACGTGTGTGCCCCAAATTTACTTGTTCGCATAGAAGACAGACCTGGGGCCCAAGATTTAAACAGCCTGTTAAATCACGTGACCTGTAATGGGTCTCAAAAATCAACAAGCATCGCATACTCCAATAGAATAAAGGTGCATTGTAAGTGTTACTTACAAAGGAAAGCCGACGCTCGGTACTGCATGTGCTTACCCACGTGCTGAGTTAAGTTGAGTCTCTTATACCCCAATCAGGTGGCGGAATCCGCCCCTCTCCAACATTTTTTCCCGATGATCACCGCAGTGCATTTTTTAGAAGCTGAGACATAACGAGTTTCAAAAGTAGCTTTTTGAAGTCATTTAAAATCAATTTTGTGAAAATCAATCATAATGTTCTCGTGCAGAGCCCATTGTTCTGAAACAGGTCAGCAAAAATGTATATTTTTTCCACTATCCTGCTCAATGCACGCAGGCTGGCACGTGTGTTCAACTTCAAATGACCGCAAACCCAAATGTCTGAATTCAACCTTCACATTTGTAATGCGCCTTCATTATGCGTGGGGTATATAGCTAAGATTTGCTAGTGGGGGCACAAAAGGGGCACTAGCGTCTTACCTTATGGGAGGGGCACCAGGAAGCTTGCACTTTTTTTGGGGGGGGGGGGGAGGTTTTTGTAGCCTTGTGCGTTTAGACGTCGACATGAACGTGTTTAACATATAAAGTGTTTTTCCTCGGGACACTGAAACGCCTGTTTATAGCGCCTTCAAAAGTGAATTCCGTCATTTGCAGCCAGTACTCTTTGGTGCCGATGAAATTCATAATTATACTTTGGGAAGGGCCTGGAAAAATTGGCCTAAAAATTGCCTGCTCGAAACCCCGCCGGGGGGGTTACCGCGATCTCCAGGCGCCAGTGACGTAGCAACGGGGGGCTGGGGGCACGTTCCCCCACAAATTCCCAGTGCCCCCCAGATGCCCCCACTAAAAAACCGGATGAATGGGTATTGAACAAGGCTAACAAAAGCTTGCTCCCAAAAAACACACCACCGAAAGCTGGTGCACCCCTATAAAATGCTGGTGCCCCCTGTGCCCCCTCCCCAAGTAAAATCCTAGCTACGCCACTGCCTGGTGTCCCAGTATGCAGTCGAAATCGAAGAAGAGGAAGAAATCGTTTGCTACGTCTAGCTTCATAGAACATTACAACCCTACTGGACGGCGGCAACCGCCCCGATTGGCGCACAGCCCTTGTTGCTGCAGAACTGGTGCGCTACAACATTGACATCGTGGCTTTGAGCAAGACCCGCTTTCACGGCGAGGGCTCTCTGGTGGAGCCGACATTCGGATACACTTTCTTCTGGAGGAGCTATCCGGATGGGGTCCGACACAGCATAGTGTTGGGTTCGCCGCGCGCTTAGCGCTGGTTGGAGGCGTGTCTGAGACCCCCACTGGTGTGTCCGTGCGACTCATGAGCTGTAGACTGCCACTGGCCAAGAGTGAATCACTCACGAGAATGAGCGCTCATGCCCTGACGCTGGTTTCTGAGGAAGCCGTGGAGGAGGATTAGGATTACGCGTGTGATGCTTGGTGCTGAAGCGTCTGCGGACAATTGGCTTGTCGTCTCGAAGATGCATCTCCGAGGGTCAACACTGCAAGAATGAAAGACCCCGAGACACGTGTACAGTTTGCTGATGCCTTACAACAGCGCATTGTGTCTCATGACTCAGCCGATGCCTCAAATTTCCAATTGCTGGAGCTCCCTGAGCGGCTTTGCTGCTGGACGCGGCCGAAGAGTGTCTTGGGATCTGTAGGAAGAAGAACAGAGACTGATTCGACGAGAATGAATTGGTGATTAAGGAACTGCTCGATCTAAAGAACTGAGCACATGACTCCGCGCTGAAGATCAACACCCCCGCTTCCCGGGAGTGTTCCAGGGCGCAACACAGCGAGAGGCAGTGCAGGCTGTGTGAGATGGAGAACCAGTTCTCGGCAGAACTCCTTTTTTATTCGAACCGGCTTCATCTCTTCTACGAGGGACTAAAGCGGTCTGTGGACCAATCAAACCACTAATCCATCCTATCCGCTCAACTGATGGCACTGTACTTCATGCAAAGGAAGCTGAGATACTCACCAGTTGGGCGGAGCACTCGGGGGGAGCTTGTTAACAGACGTACTCCATGCAATCCCATCATTTATTGAGGAACTGCCCGCACTGCCCGTGGTGGAGCACCTGGACACTCCTCCATCGTATGAAAAGACTACAAAGGCACTTGCGTCTCTGACGGATAGAAAAGCCGTTGGGCCTGATCAAGTACCGGCCAAGCTGCTGGAGTACGGTCGGTGCCTCCCTCGAAGCTGTCATTGTGAGCTCCACAGCCTTACGAATGCCTGCTGGGAGGCCGGAGCAGTGCCACAGTCCTGGAAGGATGCCAATATTGCCCACACTCATAAGCGACAGGGCGACAAGATCGGATGCAGCAACAGTCGTGGCAAATAAATGCTATCCACTGCTGAGGAAAGTCTTAGCCCGAGTCATTATAATGGACTGTTTGCTTTCCAAAACAGTGGACAATGTCCTTCCCGAGTCTCAGTGCGGCTTTCGTCACGAACTCGCGACTGGGGACGTAATCTTCGTCATACACCAAATACAGGAAAAATGCCAGGAGCAACACCTCGGCGTGTACGCCGCCGTCATCAATCTGACAAAGGCATTCGACACGGTTAACTGCGAGTTGTTGTGGGGCGTCATGCACAAATTGGCTGTCCTCCAAGGTTTACTGCCGTGCTGCACGCGTTCCACGACGACATGGTTGCCTGGGTACGGTACTCCGGGGAGATGTCAGCGCCGTTCCCAGTTGCCGTGGAAGAGAAATAGGGTTGTGTACTTGCTCCAGTCCTATTTAAGCTATTCCTGGCCCCAGTGATGCGCGTAATATACACCCAGCTGGCGGGCCATGCGGACCATGGCATCCAAATTAGATACACACTGGACGGCAGCTTCTTCAACCTTCGACTTCCCCAAGCTTTAACACGTGCACATCAGTCTACGCTGACGACGCAGTTCTTGTCGGACGCTCGCCACTGAGAACCTCCAGCAGTCACTAGACGTGTTTGCAGACATATATTTACCCGAGGGCCTGGTTGCCAACTGCGACAAGATGAGGGGCTGCAGCAGCAGCAAGGGTGCGACCACTCCACTCACACCGTGCAGAAGCAGGAGCTAAAAACTAGCAACACCTTTGTTTACCTCGGTACGGAGCTATCCGATAATCTTGACCTCAGTGTGGAAATCCATCGAAGAAACTGTCGTGCTGCGTCAGCGTTTGGTAGGCTGTACCGTCGAGTCTTCTTCAATTACAGGCTGACCTTCCAAACAAAGGTGGCGGTCTTCAATGCAGTCTGCGTGTCCATCCTCTTGTACGGCTGTGAGGCCTGGATTCCGTACCGATCGCAGATCTGCACCTTGGAGGCGTACTGTACGCAGGCCTAACAGACGTCTGCGCCGCGTTTTGGGGAATGCAATCACTTCCAGGCGTGCGGCACCCCTACTGAAAGTTCTGCTGCTTGGTAGTCAGCTGTGGTGGGTCGCCACGCACTTCGCATGGTCCCGGAGCGTCTCCCTCGTCAGGTCCTCTGCGGAGGACTAGCAGAGGGCCACCGCACAGTTGGCGGCCAGAAGAATTGGCACACATCAAAGCATCGCTGAAGAAATGCAACATTCCCCTGAGTCCCTTCGGAAACTCGCGGCTGACAGAGCCTTGCTGCCTGCAACCGCAGGTCCGCTTCTCTTAGTGGACTACACGACGAGGAAGAGGCGGCCAAGGTCAACGTCGGGTCAGAGGTGGCGTCGTCATGGGACACGATGGACCTGAAGGAACTTAACTAAAACAAACCTGTAAAAAGTATGCATCTCATAAACAAACACATAAAAAGTTACTTCATAGCTCTGATCAAATGACACTCAAAATATCTGAAACTCAAAATACAATATCACTCATGTACTCAAATTAAAGCAACTAACACTAGCACTTAAACTCAATTATCAATAATCCATAATATTTTTTTTAACATCTGAGTACATACGCCCCAATCCATATCTAGACAGTGCAGAGGTCCACACTATGTAGGACACACCAGTACACATGCTAAATCATCATTATTACATGTATTAATATGATTACAATTTCTTGGAGTGATGGGCGTTGAGTGATTAGCTGGACAGACTGCCACCCTTCATCACCTGCAGCCTGAGAACGTACAGGCGGAGCATAGGCTCTGAAATTGCAGGAGACGGCTGGCTTGCATTACACTTTCACCCACCAATGTTTCTCACGTTTAGTTCTAGTTTGTTTTTCCCGCTTTCTTTTCCTTTTGTGTTTTGATTTTAGTCTCTAACTTTTCCCTGTTGCTTATACATAGGCCTATTCATTTCGGTATTGGTGGCCGATTCAAATGGGCACGATTTTAGAGCCAAAGGAACGCTGAATCTATGAGCAAATTTCAAGGTTCATCTTTAAATTCGACATGGCAAGCAAAACCTAACTCTGCGTCTAGAGGGCCCAAATATATATCAATCACCCTATCAACACTTGATCGATGGACTGTAAACCGACGCCGAATCCAAGGCTTACATTTTCTTTTGAAGAGGGTTGCAGTCTAAGGTGTCAACCCAATATTCACTCAACTATTCGCCAGCTGTTGGGTATAAGACAAGGTAAGCAAGAAATATTATTTTGCATTACTATACTCAAAGTCACAACTATCACTGTCAGGTATAAAAGTTAATTAACTACAAAATACCACGATGGTATTATTTTACAGAGGAGTCACAGGCCTGCTTCCAATTTGCAACATGAAGATTCTGTTGGTCGCCGTTTTCCTTGGCCCTTTGGCTGTTGTGTCAACTTTGCTTTCAAAGTCACTCGATCAGGACTTCGTAGAGTACTCTGCTGACCTGGTGAAGAAAATCAACTCCATGAACACAACTTGGAAGGTAAATAGATCACAGTCGTAATCATGTTTAACAAACCATATTTACCAATGCAAACAAAATTGCGACAACAACAGTAACAATCACATGTCACAACAGCCAAACGAGCTAATACCGCAACACAAACGGTCTTTGTGGAGCCTGAAAGTTGACCCCTAATGGCCGACCTCGGAACCCTCGGATAGGAAAATGACGGGCACAGATTTTTGACTTTGCTGTCATTTTTCGTTCACTTACCCTATCTTTTTACTAGCTAGAGTTTTTTTTTTACTCATTCTCCGAAAGGAGGGTGCTGTTATATATACCGCTCCTAAAGTGATACCAGTTTATAAAAAGGGGCATGTCCCAAGGGGGCTACCTCGCCCCACCCCCACCTTCACCCTCGCTAGATATACAAGTGGTTATTTCATTCGATATTAAACAAATCCATAATATTAAATTCCTCACAAACAACCATTATTGTGCTACTTGTTTCACTCGTTTGGCCATTTTCCAGAAATAAGCGAAACGCTTGTCTTTTAAAGAGGTATTGCACATTATTTTGTTGAAGTTGTCCTTATAGCTGATTGATTGAACCTTCTCGGCAGGCTGGACCTAACTTCGCAGGTGAGACTGCTGAGTCTGTGCTGAAGCGGCTTGGCACTCCCAGGTTATCACTGGAGAAAGTCCCTAAACTACCAGTAATCGAACGAGAACGAGCTGATGGCGACATACCTGAAGAATTCGACGCTCGGGTGCAGTGGCCAAACTGCACTTCAATTGGTCGCATCTATGCCCAAGGGAACTGCCAGGCATCCTGGGTAGGCGCATGATCAATCTTCATATTCTTGAGGTCACTGCATACAACCAGGCTGCCCTTCGGTTGGCTTTTCTGCAATTTGTGGGAAAGCATTGTTTTGGTAAAGATTTTTCGTTGTGGTTTTTTTTTTACATCATCTCACTTTTCCTCTATTCTTTCCGCGTACAGCAGAAAAGCCTTTAACTTTGTTCAGATGTTTCCCTTTTCAACAAATGTGCGATGTGTTACAACTGAAAATGGGATGACGTCATGATAAAACATCAGCAAAGGTTTTAAAAATTATCAAAATTTATTTATTCATTCTTTAGAGGAACTGTCGCCTGAACAAAACAAGGGTTTTCAAACTTCGTTTTGCAATGCTCATAATCATCCAGACAAATTACGTTTTTACAAAATTTCGTGACATCACAAATCGTTATTGCTTGTTATGTTTATAAAGATCTAATCAGATTGACTGGAAATTTGGCTGGTCGATCAAACATGTCTTCCCCATAAACACTTTTAAGTGACATTATGATAGCGTCATGTTCTGATTAGTATTTGATTCTTTGATTTTATTTATGCACAAATTAATACGTATATTCTTCTTTCACAATAATTTGTGGTACCATTTCAACTTGCTTCGAGTTGATACTTCACCAACATAAAAGTGTTAACGGAAGGCGTGACTCTGTTTCAAAAAGTTATGTTGTGTGTCACCTGAAACTACCTCAAAGATGCATATTTCAGTGACAGATATCTGCAGGACTACTCTTGGGAGAGTCAAGAATTAAACGCGAGCATGTTCTGTGCACAAATGATGTTTTTGTATGTTAATGCGTTTATGAAAATGCATGCAATTGACTCGAATCAAGTGCCCTTATTAAAACTCGATTCCTGCAACTCTACAAACAATATATTGTGGTGACTTATGTAGAAATGAAGTGTACAATGCACGGTTGGGCCCTCAATGCAAATACTTCGAGTACCAGATTAAGTGATATCTCTTTTACGCAACACATTTTTAAGCTACCTACTGTCCTGGAATAGGTTTCCGGCTCTCAAACCCTTAAGTAAAGATCTTTATAACAGGTATTACAAACCGGTAGGTTTCCCTATAGTCACAACCACTCTGGTTTCACAACCAAAAATTCATACTTTTTTGTGGGGCCATGAACGTCAAATAACTACAAAAATCAAAATCTTTGTGAGGTTATGTAAATATGAACTTCACCTTTGTACTGATAATGGGTATCTTCACATGCATGCTAAGTTTCGAAAACAAGCAGACATGTGACAGCTGAGTTGGGGGGGTGCAATCCGCACCCCAACCTTGGCTATATGTGATATGGTCCAAAATATCCCATCAATTTAATGGGATTGAAGCCTAGAAAAAATCAAGATACGCCGACAAATAATTATACGCTAGTGGACGGCATGGAGAAGATTATCAAAGAGAAAGGCCACCAGTATAATTAATACCAGTAAAGTATATTTCAGGGGACAAAATGACGTGGCGTTTCAGATAGATAATTATTTTTCAGAGATCTATAGCAATTACATTTTATCACTCGAAGAGATTTTGTTGACTTTGTTGCACTGCAGGCTTTTTCTGCTGTGGGAGCGATGACCGATAGATACTGCATTACGCACGGCGGTCAGCAGTTCAATTTCTCTGTTGAGGACTCAGTGGCTTGTTCGCTTTCACCCTTCTTCAGTAACAAGTAAGAGAAAAAATAATAGCAGCAATGTTGAAAGGTTGATACCAGATCCAAAGTTTCGGGGGGGAGGGACTTGTCTTTAGGAATGGCTCAAAATTGTGGAGTTTTAGGTCTTCCATGTCTATGCACCATGTTGACCGTGGCTTATCAGGAGCCCATAAAAGAAATTAACTTGGGTGAAACCTTTTAAGGGCACGCTTAGGGATACGTAGTGCACATTTTTCAAAGAGTTCTTAAAGCCCCCAAACCCTTCAAATTTAGAATTTACATTCATTGTTTGTATACTTTTTGGGGTTACTTTAGCTGTTTTGGCGGTTCCACTACTATTGCTTGGCTGTACTGGCTTGATACTGGATTGGTGAGCGGGGGAGGATACAACAGTTCGTCCGGTTGCCGACCGTACGCCTATCCGCCCTGCGATCATTATGAGAAAGGTTCACATGGTTCGTGTTCCGATCCACTCCCCGACGAGCCATTCTGCAACAAAACCTGCAGGCGTGGCTACCCCAAGTCGTACGAAAACGACAAGAAGAAAGGTGCACGCTTCATATTTCTAAAACTAATCTGTAAATATTGAAAGCAAAACAACAAACATTTTTAAGTAACCTCTCCACGATTCACACGTTCAAGGCAAGTTCGAGCGGTCGAGACTACAGTTAACTATAGGTCGATTAACACCGCCCGGACGATCGCCAGTTTTTTTGACCATGTAGTTGACCATTAATGGAACCAGGCGAGAACTTACTTCAACATGCAGTCTCCTAGATTGCTTAACTGCATTGTTTTAATAATCTTTTTTCTTTCTCGAAAACTCGAGGTCTGCGAATTTATCGTGTTGGACACCATGAGGCGGATATTCAGAACGAAATCATGAATCACGGGCCGGTTTCAGGGGACATGGATCTATACGCGGACTTCTTACTCTACCGATCAGGTATCTGGCAAAATAAAAAAAACCCACTTTTCATTTTTTTTCCATTTGACGTTTATCCTATAAAACACAGCAAAATTGCTGATAATATAAATAGGAAACCCAACATACGTAATCATACATCAATGCTAGGCAAAGAAGACTTTGAATATCATATATTATATATCTTGTCTGGTTTTTACAAAATCAGTGTCAACATTGTGTCAATGGAACGAATTTATGTCAAAGAACATTAGGCCTACCAGGAAAAGTCGCGGAGGCTCAGTGTGACAGAAAAACGCACTCTGTCAAAACGCAAATGCATTCAGAAAGGCGTAATCTAACCCAGACTCCTCGGGTCAATCTCTGAGTGTCATTCATGCTGTTTTGCAAAATTGTTTTCTATGAAGGTGTTTATCAAGACAAAGGGAGTGCATTTATTGCCGCACATTCAGTTAAAGTCCTTGGCTGGGGCGTTGAGAACGGACAGAAATATTGGCTGTGTGCCAACTCATGGAACTCCGAGTGGGGCGACAAAGGTAACAATCAGGGGGGCAATTCCATGGATCTGCTTAGCTCAGAGCGCGGAAAATACGTGCTTAGCAAAAGCGGGTTACCTGCCAAAAGATCACGGCACTCATACCTGTGGTAGGTACTCTTCTACATTTTGCTTGAACGTGAATATCTGAAGCAAGAATTTATGCTAATTGGAGAATGATGGAATTGACCCTTACGTGTATACATGGATAAAAAACGCCCTTTTCTTAAAGCCAGCAACTTGCCATAGATATGAACAAACAGTTCTTCAGTATAAATGTACGGTGCATCTAAAGGTCACTCTCAAGGCGATATAATCTTGGAAGATTTCACACAATTTTAAAATATTGATCGAAAGGAAAAGGAGCGAACAGTGGAATACAAGTAGAGTTTCAGTTGTATCCAATCAAAAGCCCAATTAGTCATCAGTCAAATTCAGTGTTTTTAACCTTTAATGTTTTAAGAGTAAATTATCCGCAAGGCATTTTACTTAAAACAAACAAAAGGCAGTTGTTCTGTCGAAGCAGGCACGAATTAAAAGTAACGATGACGTTTTTGAAGTGTGGAATTAAATGCAAAGTGATTTCGCCGCGCATGTACATTCTTATAAAGTGATTTCGCCCTGCATGTACATTCTTTTCGCTATATCCAATAACAGTTCGCAAGAACGACTTGCATGCTGGACTGCCATATCTTGAGGGCTCCGTTTTTCTTTTCCTTTGTCATTAAACTTTCCTTTCTTTCTTTGTCTTTATTTCTTCAGGTTTTTTCAAGATCCTTCGTGGCACTAATGAGTGTAATTTGGAATTTAATCTACATGCAGGCCAACCGTACTAACATCTGGAGTCTTCAATCAGCTGCTGACCTCTCAACAATTATTACTTGTATTAATTAACTACCGTAATGTTGGTCAGAATATTTCGAACCCAAAGTCGTCTATTTGTCAAAACTTTATTAATGGAGGAATTTACTGCCGAGAGGAAAGAAGTGCTTGCTCTTGTTCATGGTGTGTTTTATAAGGGGTTGCATGTGCAGTGGGGAAAAATAATCGAGGGCACTGTAACTTGTCACTTGATCATTAATCAGTTCGTCAAATGCTTTAGAAAGCACAAGTTTATTCATCGTCGATTAAAACTAGAGAATGGCAGTCACAAGTTAAATATTACACGTGTTAATCTGGTTTCAATGGCATTCAAAAATTGAATCCAAATTGGTGCATGAACGATATACATCTCTTCCGCACTTTGTGAATTTTAAACGACACGAGGTTGGCGAGCAAGTAACAAGTCGGCAAATTGATTCTGGCACCTCCCTCTCGGAAATGCCTTCTCTACGCTCCTAGGTGTAGGCCAAGGGAAGTAGCATCTCCTTCTTTTGGTAGTTCTCAGCCAATCAAGATACAGAATCCGTGGATGAGGTGTTGTCACAAAGTATTAAAGACCCCGTGGACCTTTACTTTGCAATGTTGCAGGAAAACCTTTAGGCCTATGGGATCAATATTTAAAAAAAAGTTTCTATGAAGTGTTCCTGGCTTGTACTCAAGTATATTTCACGAATAAAACAATTCAGAGGAGAAGATCCGGTGACGCATTAATTTGTGCACAAGAGCTGCTGGCATTAGCTTCGCATGTCTGTTCGACCCTTTTCGGAGGTGGGGTGGAAATCTTGTTTTACCTGTCACAGGTAGCTAGCTCTATAGCCAGCACAGCCGGAAGTCGCGTGTCCTGCCGGCATCAAACTAGTTACACATCGTAACTAGACTGCGATGCGTGCGATACAAACTATAAGATCCAGACCGCCCCATCGCGCATTTCAGCAGTCTTAATTATGGGAATAGATCGAAAAGACATCTCTTTTTTCTCCATTCTAAATATCATAGGCTACAGATCCGCTCGCACAAATAAATAAAATGTATTAACCCCGAAAACGAGATGGTATAGGCCTCGAGTTGAATCAAGAGAGGGCGCTATTTCCTTAGTTCCTTTGGTAGGCATACTACATGTATTTAACTGCGCGTCGGCGGTTGACCGACTAGGAACAGAAGTATTGCAGTTGCATCGCTACCCACAAAATTGTGTACTCTTTCCAACCGATGAGGGGGTGTTTCTGCTCGAGGCGGTAGCCAGCCGTTCTGCCGGCGGTGACCTGCACGCTATTGTAATATAACATTCAAATACCGGTATAGCAGCGATTGCAAAGGCTACACTGTCGTATGCGCGATATTGGAATCTCTGATTAGAATATTAGTTTAGTTATGTACCTTTTGGTACCATAATATTGAATATTAATGCACGTCACAAAAGACAAATTACATGTATTTTCTGTAGATACATGTACACACATACCAGTTCACATACTCTACGGTATCCAGGATAGAGCCAATGACCAATACGACTGAAACAGCGCCGCAAGTGTGAAGAAAAAAGGGAGTCACGTGCCAAAATACGAACGTCGGTTCCCCCGGCGGCCCACTTGACATAAGGGGAAAAGGATAAACTTTCCACAGCTAGGGTACAATGTTACAGGAGAAACAACTCAAACTTATTAGATTTTCAGATCAGGACTTTAATGATGAAAATAAAACTGCTTGTTCCAATATCGTAATTGAACAATTCAAAACTAAACAGCAATTTCCATATTAAAAACCACGGGGATTTTGCGAAAGCAAAATGTGGATTATAGTTTGGACAACAGCTCTGACATGCGCACTGTAAATGAATATCAAACCTACATACTGGTACATCATTCATTCCCGGCAACACAATCATTCCCGGTAATATGGTTCCGGTTACAACATAGATAATCTGCAATGGACCTCTTATCATTGAGGTTTGACTGCATCAGTATCAGCAGATAACTTGCTATTTTTCTGCCTGGTTTTAGAATTGTGGGTTGAAAAAAGTTGATGGAGGCACAAGCATAACAATACTTCAGTAAAAACGAAAGCTGCAAAAGCAACGACATGTAAATTGCAAGGTAACACGAATGTTACTGACGATTAATAAACCAAAATTACAAAAGTTTGCATTCACAGAAAAAATAGTAACACCTGTATATACCTGTACATCAAAAGTATTCAGTGTATTCAATACATATATATCCGAATGCATAAACTATAAAATGAATGAGTAATATTCTTAAAAACAGCCTTTTTAACAAAAAAAGTACCTTCGGCAGTACTGGTATGGACGGAAAAGCATATTTTTAAGGGATGGAAGCTTCCGTTGGAAAGTCTTTACATCAAATTTACAGACACCAGAAAAATAAGTTCCTACAGTAATTGGTTTAGGTGGCTTGGATACCATGATAATAAGCTGCTAACTGTCGTTTACTTGGCTTTTAGAGTTGCTTGTTTCTTTTTAGCGGAAGAAGTTGTATGAAATGTAAACCGCAAAAAAACTTCGCCAATCACCTGCGAAAATCGGATTTCATCCTTCGACAGAATGAACTGAGGAGTATTCCTAGTTTAACGCATGCACGTTGTTCTGATGCAACATTTATTGTTCAGTTCCTACAAATTGTTGCAATTTATGCAACAAATGTTGAAGTCGACCTTGCTGACATTGAGCTTTTCAAGAAAACTAGAAACTGGAATTATTACAAAATGGGTAAAATTGGACAAACATTTTTCTTTTGATCTAAGTTCGGAAGAAAGGACACATAACATAAAATTAATGTCGACTCTGTTGCAAGAACTGCACACTACACGTTACACAGCAATGCTCTTTGCACATTTTAGAAAATGGCACGTGGATTTCGTGAAAAAGAAACTGTAGCAATTTTCAAGTACAGGCTTTCATGACAATGTGACATTCATGCTATTGTCTTTTTTTAGCACTGTCCCTGTTCACACACAAATTATATAAACATGAGAAAACTTTTGAGTCTGTAACCTGTATGGGCCCTGCAGTGTCCACAACTCAGTTGAATTAGAGGCTACAGCATAAATTTTATTGTAAACAAGGTCTATCTGGTCCATACAAGAAGATAAACATGCCTTTTGACATTCCTGATTGCCAAAATGTAAATTTTCTTTCATTTTGCTAATCACATCTACAGAGAAGGAGCATTTATGTTAAATCCAAAACAAATGTTTAAGTTTTGTATTCTCCAGTTTTGTTTCGCCAACTTAGAAACAAATACATGTACATATTTAACTGAAAATAGATTCATGTCTTTTGAAGGAATACATGTAACGGCATATGCATGCATGACATTTCACATTTATAGTGCCAGGTACTTTATGTATAATATACTAGAAAATGTACAACGTACATGTAAATTCCAAGGTAATGCGCATGAAGCAGGTTTGTCGCTAAGTGCACTACACCACACATAGTGATCGTGGTGATGATGTTGTTGTGACGATCACAGGCAGGGGCCCCCATGCGTGTCCACCATATATTGTGTTACATGCTTAGTCAATGGATTAACATGCAGATGGATCCAAGTCTTTATACAAAACATTTGGCAGGACCCTTTATCGCAGGTTTATTGACACAGACTAAGCAGCGATGAAAAGAAATTTCCATATGATCTGTGTGTGTGTGTGTGTACAGCTTTGGCAGAGTTAAAAGTGCACTCTGCCTCTGTCCAACTTTTTGTTCCACATCGCAACGGGGATATAATGCCTTGGTAGCGGCATGGTGTTTGCAGCACACACTGGGCAGATTGGTTCTAATGCACAAGGACATGATGAACATGCTTGCGGCACAGTAAACCTTCAACAACCTTCCGACACAATTAATGTAATCCTTTAAATGACACGTAGACCTCTGACGATTTAGCTGTTGAAGCTTTTGAGTTGTTCATCGGTCACAGGCTTGTTGCTTTAGCAACTGGCCGACAGCTGGTACTCAGTGCGTTGGCATGGACATGTGCAAGTTCATGATGTACATGTACCTGTCGATCACTCTACATAGTACACATACATGTTCATCCACTTATATGTATGAATCCTGTTTATTCTGAGTTCGGAAAATAAATAAACTTGTAGATACCCCTGCTCCTGTGCAAACAATCTACTGCAAAGCAGCTGCCTGCATTTTGTATTTTTTTTCGGATTAAAGGGTTGAATTTCTATGGCCAAATCTTTTTATGCAAACATCTATTCTGGACAAAATCTAGTCAACTGAAGTCTGAAGATGTCGATTCAAAATGTTAGTCAAATCAGTTAAGTGACTGTTTTTAACAGTTTAAAGACTCCTCCCAATATAAAGCAGAAATAACTGGCTACGACTAATAATATAACTTGGTATAGCTGCGCTTTGACTGTGGACGACTAACATGCCACTTTTTGCTAGCAGCATTTACCAGTCTACCAGGGTCTACTGCTAATAGTTGTACGTGTACTAGTTGTCTGTTTTTTTCTGTTGAAGGAATTTGAGTGGTAACAGTACCAACCAGATTTATAATCTGACTGCTGCTGACTAGCCTATGCATAAAGTGTAGCAAGGGAAAGTGAATGGAATTGTGATTGTAACTCTTATGACTGAAAGAGGGTTCACATTCCACAAACAGTTCAGGTTACTCTGTTGTCAGTGAATGGTAGCCATTAAAAAACCCTGCTATTAACATAAATACACGTACATGTATGTCAATGCAGGCCCCTATACAACTTGTTCCAGAATGTGATCCGTTTAACTAAAAATGTTTTCTGTTTGTATTTATGCCCCTAAATCCCATTGGCCATAACTTAATGCTGCTCATACCTGGGGCACAAAATGCCTAGGTGTGATCTCCGGTGGTGCGTTTGGAATTTTGCAGGAGTTTCAGAAATATGGTTTAAAACAGTGTCCATATAATTTTACACGAAAGCAATTTTGTACAAAACTTGCCAACTACAAATGTGATATTGCACATTTACAGTCCAAAAATTTGAGTACTCTGAATGACTGTAAATGAGGTACCACATATTGACAAAAAGCCTCTGCAAACTCAAATCCTGGCTGGTGAATAACAATGTATTGAGGACCTCTGCTTCACCTCCAGAAAATTTTGGAAATTTTAGCTTCACATAAAAAATACAGCTTTTCAGATTAAGAAATATTCCAAATCTAAAATACTAAACAATGTGATGAAATGGCTAAAATTTTCAAGTATTTGAGATTCAGTAGAGGGTCGGGTAATGTACATAGTCCATGTACCAAGTGTTTTCACAATGAGCCAGTTCAGTATTTGAAAAAGGCAAGGTTATTTGATATTAAGTATCTGACATAACGCAAGTGAATATGCTTAGTGAATGTGAATTGGCACAAACCTTCCCTGATGACCAACCTCGTGCACTTGTTTTGATGTTCTCAAATATTTCAAACAAACCAAACTCGATCATTTTGTATCATCTGCACATCTTGGGGCTAAGGGGCAAAATGACGGGAATACATTTCTAAAACAAAGAATGAATGGTTTCAGATGATGCGGTACATTTGTTGCACTGGGAAACGGATTTTGTGTCCGTTGATACCAGGTAGGAGCTCTGAGGCAATAGCCCCTGCCACTCCACGATCCACCACACCCCGGTGCAGTGGGTTGCCTAGGTGATTGGAGAGGGCAAAGCCTGCATCGCCCCTCCCACTGGGGACACTTGATCCCTGCTTCTGGGGATACAGTGTCCCTCTCTTCTTGACCTCCACAGGATTCTTGCCCAGCATAGTTGAAATCCCCGCGAGGCTCTGCATCTGCACTTGAACTTCCATTGGGCTCACGGCTTTGCCCGCGATCCCAGAGGTGAAGAAGTTCTTGTTCGTAGGGTCCAGTTTCACAAAGCTGTGGTCTTGGGAAGCCTCCTTCACTTCTTGTTCAGGTATTCTCAAATTTTCTCTATTTAGAGTTTGGGACAGGTGGTGAGTTGGACGGTTTTCATCAGCTTCTGAAGTGGCCTGTTTGTTCATTTTCGCTACGGCTCCAATGATTTCATTATCATCACGGATTTGTCGTTGGCCAGCAGTGACTTTGACCAGCGGCTTCAAGTTGGGAGACTCCACTTGAACGGGAACTGTAAACTTCTCATAGCTAGACCTCAGTTTCTCCTGGGCTTTGGGCTTGGAGTGTCTCGTGGTTTTTAGTCTGGTTTTGAAGCTGTCCTGCTGGATGAGATCATTCAACTTGGAGCCCAGTGCGGCAACAAGATCGTGTGGCATTTTGTTCTCAGTATGTGCAGGCGGGGGATGTGGCAAGGGGCTTGACTTTTGGGACTTCTGGATGGGACTGCCCCGCTTGACGGTGTAGGTTATTCCGACATTGGGCACTTTTGTCTGGGTTTGATCCTCATTTGGATGATTGGGTTTGGGTGAGTAGGTGACATCAGGGAGCGGTTGAGTTCTGTTGGGTTTAGCCTCTCTTATTAAGGATGTGACATAGTCCCCGTGGTTGTGAACAGCTCCCAGTGGCCTTTGTTGAGACCTGGGCGAAGCCTGCTGAACAAGAACCTTTTCCAGGTGCTCTTTGACCTTTCGTATGTGCTCCTTGAGGTTGGCGTCCATGGGCCTTTTCACTGGGCCCTTATTGAAGGTTTTCTTCCTCGGCACACCAGCATAGGCTGATCGGTACACATATCGGTAAGTTCCTGGTTCTATACACTGTTTCCACGATAGATCACTCTGGAATGCAATCAACTTTTGAGTGTTCCTATTCTTTGCACTGTCTTTTTCTTTCTCTTTTTCGCTGTCCTTCTTTTCTGCAACACGACTGACATATGTGGGGTTTGGAACTGCTGGTCTCCATCCCGTGGACACTTCATCCCAGCTGTAACAGTTGACTATGGCATCCAACGTCTCATCTTGTGGACTGCAGTCCAGGAGAGCGTCCACCCACTCTCTCTCCTCATTTTGCGCTGTGAATTTCTCGTGCAGGTTTCTGGCCAGTTGGCCCTTTCCAAGTTTCTTCACTCCAGCTGTCTGATCCTTGTGACTGTGGTGAATTTTAGATGGGTCACTGCTGTTTGCCATCTTGGAAGACTGCAAAAATGTTCACACTTTTTTTTTTGGACCAGCCTAAACCATGGCCAAACAAGAACTAGTGAAGAACACTCTTAAATGACACTGGAATTGTCATTGTGCTGATGTGATATTCATGTTGCCTTCAAAGACAGGCAGATACCATCTGTCAAAGCAAGCAATAACATTGAAGACTGGTTATATGCATACTTTATTACTTTGTGGAGGTGAAAAAGAAGAAATAAAAATCATCTTTCAGTCAGATAAAATAATTAATATGGTCACATAAAATCCTGTTTCTTGTCCCTTCTTACTTCCCATTTCCTTACTTGCCAAGTTTTTATGGATATTTTTAAATGTTTGTTGAATTTTGAAAGTATTTAGACTTTTTGTACTTGTAGCTGGTATTTTAAGTTCAAAACCTGTCAGGATTAGACGGATTCATATTATTAGCTCCTTAACACATGACAGTGCTTGCAACCACGGCAAATGAACAAAATAAAACACGAGAATCCCCTACCACCGTGCGGGGCCGGCCGGGGGATGGGTAGTCAAACCTTTGTCCCTCGCCTTGAGCCTTGCTTAGCTGGGTATCATAATTTTTTGCGTGGTTAATGTAAATGTAACTAAGACTGTACCGCACACATGGCTGGTAATGGACAATTAGGCCTACCACAATAGCCTGTGAGCCTCCAGTCAACTTGCGGAGAAGATAATAGCCTATCATAGCGTAACTGGTCAATTACAACTATCAGACCACATTCATGTAGGCTTAGGACCTCTTTTTTTTAACAAGTTCATGGTAAGAAAACCGCGTCATACATATCACTGTAATGAATTTTCCTCACCTTGAAGCCCCTTGGTTGAATACTGAAAGTATTTTGATTCTTAACAGGAACTCATTTTGAGTTGTTTGGAATAGAGTGTCTTACACTTCAGTACACTTCAGACATGCTTATGTTACACGTACGGTAATAAAACTCCATCCGGTATCCGTATCTGCCCTGCATGCATCATGCATGCGCCATATCGTGTCACTGGTCACAATTGTTCATCTTATTTGCACTACACATTGATGGGTACCAGTTAGAATCATCACGACAATAACAGCACGCGTCATCATGGCAATGGCCTTTTGTTATGTAAATCCAATCTAGACTAACAGCCTACCACTGGCTTTGTAGTGCGGGACGGGTGAACTCAGCCGTCGACTTGATCAAACGTCCATCCAAAAGATATGCAAGATAACCTGTGTGTAACGAGGCAGGAGAAATGCTAAATGCCGTTTTCCTGCCAATCGACAATTTTATCCTGGACATGTTATCTTGAGGCTCAGAAAACCCCGCGTTGTCGTTAATTATTGGTTATCCGTTGAAGCGGTTCCAAAGGGGGGTTGAGGGAAATGATCCAGAACTTTGAAGTTTTTCTCCTGATGCAGGAGATAAAATCTGGGTAGATTAAAAAAAAAAAAACCTTTGGGAGCAATGCCCCGGGATCCCTCACTGAGCCCGCAAAATCATGAAGGAACGCCTTTAATTGTCAAGTCCCTTATGTGACCGTCACCCCCCCAAGACAGGGTGGCCTACGCCACCGAATACGAAGGCCGAAGGGATAACGCTAAACCAGTAGATAACCACTATAGACACATCTATATGATGCTGATAAACGCAAGGTAATTGTGATCAAAGCTAAATGCTGCTCTCTTGTGTCTAAATCCCCACGTTACGATTTACGTATCAGGAATTTTTGAGGCAGTTTTGACTTATTCCTTCATTTGATCCCAAGTTTATCCGAAAAGTGTAGGAAAAAGCCGACCGTTGCCGGGCCCTAATGTTACAATTACTGACCGGCGGTTCATTAACATAGTACAGTGGTACAGTGCATGGTGTCAAGGTGATCGGCAACCCCTCTCGAAAAATCAACTCGCATTAATTTTTTATGGAATTTCCGGTATCACTTTCATTTGTGGATCCGGTTCTTCACCGAGGTATAGCTTTGAAGTTGAACAGAGGCGTTTCCAGCTTTTGGTGGTGGTAGTCACGGTGGGAGGGGGTTCAAATTCAACAGCAAATGAGGCTTCGGGCTCATTCAATATGCCAATGTTGGGGAAGAAAAATACCAACCCCCCCCGCTGAATACGCCACTGGCTTTGAAGTATTAAAGTCCGTCCACAACTTTTCAAGGTGAACTTAACACCCCCCAGAGACGAAATCGCCCACGGACCTATCATTTGCTGACACATGCGATATTGTGCGATGGAGGATCAAGAAAAGCCCCCCCCCCTTTGTTAAGGAAGTTATTTTTTTTCCTTCGCCCTTTTTCTTTTGTCTGTCATGAGTTTACGGACAATTGCCACAGGTATGATCAAAATCCATCTGGATTTGGATCAGCCCCTTTCGGAAACATCAAGCCCCCCCCCTGTTTGCGTTTGAACATAAGTTAACGCCGGTCCGAATGTACAAACGAAGAGTCTACAGTTGGGGCAAAAAGTTTACACGCACTTAGTCGAAAACACCTAATTTATTTTGCAGTTTGAAATAGTTTTGCCAATATTATCTGTATGAGGTCAGACAAACTGTACCTCAATTTATAATGTTCATAGTGTCTACTTCTTCATTATGGTTCAAAATATAAATGAATCGGACATATGATTTTGTGAACATTTACATTTACCCCCTTATTATTAAAGAAACTTTAGAAAGTGGTCCACTGCGACTATGAGATGGGACTATAAAAATACAAATATAAATATGAACTCTGGGTGTTTTTGGCGCATACACCATGTACATTAAGCAGAGACCCATCTTATCTGCCCTCATGAAAAGAAAAGTTGGAGGGAATGGGAGAAGTTGTGAAAAACTGGTTTTGTTCTACCAGATTTATGTAAACTTTTGCCTCGACTGTACACTGTCCTCCATAAAGTTATGAGTATGACCAAATGAAGTTTGATTATCGCCTTGAAAACCTATATATACTCCATTATGAGGATACGAAATTACCCCTTAAACCCCTTAAAATAACTACCAGTAAGTTCAACTGCGAAACAGCACACTGCGTGCGTGCGTATGACTGGAGAGATCAACTTGATTGCATAACTGAACATGTTGCGGCAACTTGCACATGCGTTGTCCGGCGGGTTCTTCTGGAGATCCGAGCACGCCGGATGAGTGAGACCAGGTCAGACCACAGTTTCACTTTGACAAGTCAATTGACAGTCACGCCTACAATTTTGAATCCTCTCAACACTCGCCACATACATCTCAGCTTTCGCGTTTAGGCTATTCAAAACTTGCACTACGGCTTTAATACAAAAACGAAATATGCAGCAGAAAAAATAACCTTACAGCTACGGTCGACCACCATGGCCCAATATCCACAAAGATTGGAACGCAGGTTTTCTTGTCAGTGATCAGAATTCTTTCAGGTTGGCCCCAAGCGTCGACGGCCCTACAAACAAGTCAATCTTTTATTGTTCCCTTTTTCTGCCAAAGGAATGCAAGTGTTCCAATGTGGCATCTCACTGTAGGGCGTGGCACTGCATTGTATGCAGTTTCCTACACCGTCTTCAAACCTAGAGCAAGTACACACGGCGTATTAAAGTGAACAGTCGGCAACGCCTATGTGTAAACGTGCAAAACTCATTCTTTCGATTGAGCTTTGGGCCCAATTATCGGTACAAAATTCTCTTTGGAGAGACATTGTTCAGTGGATGTATGGATAAACGGAGCAATATTCAAAAAGACCCTGGTTGCCTGGCAATTCGAGTCATGTCCATCCAGAGCAGACGCTTTCTAGTTCAGCAGCATACAGGGGGCAGAGCAACATAGACGAGTAGAGACTTTATTGCCGTGGCGAACTAACCCTGCCTGCTGACTGGTGGTGTATGCATATCCGATTGTCGGTCTGCTTATCAGAACATTGAAGAAGTAAGATGGTTCTCTCTGTCGTGACAGCCCTTGCTACAGACCCAACATTCGTCCGACCACTACTGTTTGATCTTTATGATTGCGTGGCGTCACTCGCTGAAAAGACCCCAATTGAACCCCAACTGCGGTCGCTGGTGTTCACAGTATCCTCGTCTAAGGATTTTTCCGCCATGATGTGGAGAATGAGAGAGAGTACACTGACCGTTAAAATCAGAGCTAAAAAGGACCTGGAATAATAAATGCACTAGGCTGAGCTTCCCTTGACTTGCAGGTCTTCGCAGTCACAGCGATCAAGAGTTCTACAGAAATGATTGACGCAGCGCCGGTTAAAGACGCCCTTGACTGGAACTTTCGAGGCTTCGAGCGGGTAAGTGCCCGAAATCATAAAAGGATCGATCGGCTCAGTTTAGTCTCTTAGAGAATTGGCTAGGATATAATTTCTACTAATGTTTAATATGGGTTTTCATGGCCAATGTGGAAAAAGCTCAATATAGAGACACAAATTGACACACCTGCACAAACCCTGTGAGACTGGTCTGAGAAATTTTAAGTGTTTTCCAAATAAACGACTTGTTTTCCCTCCTTAATCGAAATTTTCTGGACGTGTTTTTTGCTTTCTGAAATCTAATAGGTCACGGTACGGGATAATTACTGGCGTCCGTAATATTAAACTCTCCCCGCCAATTTCATCAAAACGTCTTCCATTTTAACACGAGGCCAATCTAAATTCGTTTTAAAAAGAATTATCCCCCCACACAAAACTTAAAAGCAAGTATTTGATTTCATTACGGAAAATTCTCTCAGCAAAATTGGGTCATTCAAATTCCAAAAGTCGTTTCGTTAAATCATATTCGTCAAAGGGCTTAGAAAGACGTTAATCAGGTATTCGAGTAGTCAATACGCAATTTCGTTTCACTTTCAGTGGAATTCATATTCGTTCCAGTGGTAAGTGCTTACTTTATCCCATGTAAAATCTAATTTTCCCAAGAAAAAGATTGAACAGTAGATTTTGAGACAGCTTTTGTTAGCCTCCATTTTGTAAGAAACTTGTGGCGGCCGGCCTCTTACAGGAAAGCTGGTAATTCGGGAAAAGCTTATTAACGCTGTCTATGGCAATCACGCAGAGAAGTCTGTTTTCATATTTTATATACTATTCATGTTTTAACATGGCAAGAGTTCCATATATGGACAACCGTACTTTTCCCTTGAAATGTTATAAAAGTCATCACAAAGTGATACCATGTTCTAAAAAGTGAAATTTAGGTAAGAAAACTCCGAAGCATTTACTAAGAAGAACTTTTTTGTTTTCAAACAAGTCTCATGGGTCATGGGTTTGTGCACAGGAACGTATAGTGTTGTCTGCAAACGGAACTCTCTCCTTTAACGTTAACCCTGAATTTATTTCTATGAGCTTTTACTTTTATAATTCTGTAAATGTACTGATGTTTATGAAATGAAATGGTCCAGTTAATTAACAGATATGAAATCCAATGTGCACAGCATCAGTACACACATCATAGAGCAAAACAAACAATTTCTGACTTAACCCGAGAAACAGGCGTATAAACAAACAAAAATAAAGGATACAATCATCAAAACATTGATTAAGGAACAGAAATATCACACGGTAACAACTTATAATGAAATGCAGAAGGCATTTATTTCTCCATCGCTCCTAAACTGAACACTTTGAACGCGAAATGGAGTTACTGCAAACGAAAAAGAAAATTGCGGGTATATTAAGGATCATATTTGCCTTGAGCAGAAGCACCCCTTATTATTGGTTGACAAGAGCCATGCTGGTCAGGAGTGTTCATTTTGTTGGTAGCGACGGGGACGCAGCGTGTGCATCTCATATAGCTTCTTGTGGACCAGCGAAGTAAAGGCACTGCCAAAAGAGCCTCTGTTGCTAGGAAAATGTGCCCTCTCTTGCCCCAGCTCGGGGTTGATGATTTTTAATTTGACTGCACGTTTTGGAAAAAAATAGCAAATATTAAATTGTCGAATGGTGATAGTGTAGGCTTGAATGCGCACAAACGAAGTGGAATAATGACAAAAAAAAAAATAAATGGGAAAGCTAAAAAATTGTGCACAAAACGA